AAAATCATAACTTCATCTGCAACTGTGTTGCAGGATATTGACTTTTTGGTAATCTTTTCGAAAAAAAACTCAACATAGAACGACACTACTCGTTGACAACTGACTCAGCCCATCTATTGTTGAGAAAATATTTCCAACTAGCCAAACATTTTTAGTTGAGCGTGTTGCTTTGTCTAAAGCAGCCATCTTCTTAAGTAATATTTTTATACTTTTTTACTATAATAGAAAGTATATAATATGAACTTAATAACTATGAAGTGCTAAAATTTAAATAATAAAGCAATTAGAATACACCCTTAGATGATACACCCGCTCCCCCAATTTTACCTACATTTTTTAATAATGAAATCAAAACATGCATTTAGGAGCGATTTTTGGTAATTAATGTGGAGGGGGTAAATCTAAATTTGCTGGTACTTTCCAGTCTTCTGTGAACTATCTATGTTGTAATATTATAATACTTTATATTATTTGTTTTTAGATCAATTTGTAGCAGTATTTTGTATGAAATAAAAATAGAGTTACAAGATTAAGTTTTTAGACAAATTTTGGTCAATTTAGGGTTTCGAAATAGGGTTTGGGGGACCATTTTCCCATTCCCATTATTAATTTGCAAAAAAACTTTAATTATATACTTTTTATATACTGGAAGTGTAATCAATTGAAAAAGATCAGGGCGTTAATGAATTACATCTTCCGCCGAAGAAAGCAAAACTACAATTATTAGTAAACAAAATAGGTTATTGCAAGGTCCAGGAAATAACCTACACTTTGAATTGCTCTTCAGGAGTTCTGATTTCTTTTACAACGGTGAGGAGGCGATTGATTGAATCAGAGTTTGGTGGCAGAATAGCTACTAGATAACCTTTCTTTTGGCCCTAAATTAAAAAAAGAACCGAAATGGGCAAAACTACGCGAAAAATAGACCATCAATTACTAAAAACGAGTTCTTTGTGCTGACAAAAAATGACGAAAGAAGTGTGTTCGGAAAGTTTAGTTATGCCATACCTTTAGGAAGTTGAATTATTGGGGATTCCTTTTTCAAGAAGATAACAATTCTAAAGGAATTACTTCAAGTATTGAATAAAATGATTTGGCCTCCATACCAGATCTCCTATCAAACCTTAATGAGGTTTACTAAAGAGAATTTTAAAAAAAACTAATTCCTAATGGTGCAAAGGATATGTGGAAATAACTTAATTGTGAGCGCAAAAAATTGACTTCGTCAAATTGGAAAAGTTGTTATGTAGAAGAATATGTAAAGTAGTTATTGTCGCCGAGATTTGTTGCATAGATTAGAGCAAATTATAAAGTAATTTAATTTAATTTTTTATTTTTTGAAAATTTAGTTACTGTTAAAAATAGCTTATTTTTCTCGTCATTTTTGCTTTTAGTTTCTCTCCCAAGAGTGAATAAAATTTTAATAACTTTGAAAGTATGACCATCATAAATGTCGTAATAGCATAAAATAAGTATTTTTAAAAATAACACGATATACTACTAATAAAAAATAAAATAATATTTTTTTAAAAAATCCCCTTCCAAACCTACTAAAATCTCACGTTGTTTACAAATTTTTTTGCGCTTGCGGTTAATCCAGTTATATTGGAGAAAATTCCAGACATTTAACAACTAGAATGAGCACCTTGGGACTGATAAAAAATCATATATATATAAACCTTTAATTACGTCCCTTCATTAAATCACTAAATCACAGAGTTTTCAAACATAAAAACTTATAATATACGATGGAAAAACTAGATTGCCTTTTTAGATGTACTTATGAAAAAATCCAATTATTTTTCGACATCAGTTTATCATATAAAAACTTATACAGGTTTGCTACAATATTTTTTTAGTTTTGTCCCCCTAGCAACAAATTTGGTCTTATACCTTGTAAGATTGATTAAACATTTAAACTAATTATCCTTGTAAAGACAAAAAAATCTCTCTTATGTTTTACAAGATAATCAAATAACTATCGAGTCTGAAATTAAATCATATGTTGATATTGAATTTAGTTACCGCTTCAACTAATTATTCAACTAATTATTCAACTAATTATTCAACTAATTATTCAACTAATTATTCAACTAATTATTCAACTAATTATTCAACTAATAAATTAAAAGTAAAAGAACTAAATTAAAAACTAAAAAAACTAAAATAAAAAATCATAAATAAAAAGTAAACTCCGCATTAAATGGGAAAATCCCTCACTTAATAAATAAACTTTTCTTTACAACATTAATCTATTTAATTAAAATGATTAAATTCTCAGTAAATAATGCTTATTTACTGAGTTGTTTTGTAATTATTTTATTGGTTCTTATGTATATATATATATATATATATATATATATATATATATATATATATATATATATATATATATATATATATATATATATATATATATATATATATATATATATATATATATATATATATGTATATACATATATTTATATATATATATATATATATATATATATATATATATATATATATATATATATATATATATATACATATATATATATATATATATATATATATATATATATATATATATATATATATACATATATATATATATATACATATATATATATATATATACATATATATATATATATATATATATATATATATATATATATATATATATATATATATATATATATATATATATATATATATATGTATATACATATATTTATATATATATATATATATATATATATATATATATATATATATATATACATATATATATATATATATATATATATATATATATATATATATATATATATATATATATATATATATATATATATGCATATATATATATATATACATATATATATATATATACATATATATATATATATACATATATATATATATATATATATATATATATATATATATATATATATATATATATATATATATATATATATATATATATATATATATATATATATATATATATATACATATATATATATATATATATATATATATATATATATATATATACATATATGTTTATATATATGCATTTTATATTTATATTTTATATTTATCTATATATAAATATATATTTATATATATACAGGCGTGGATGCAGCATTTTTTGATGTTTGAGATACCTAACTTCCAGTTATGGAACAAACTCCAAAAATTTATATGTTTATACTTATATCAAATATGGACGCTTTGCAAAAAATTGCAATGATTGGAGCCTGGAAACAAAAAACCCCTAAAATTTTAGCTACACTTGCCCCAACGAGAGAGCAACAAATTAAAAAAATATTTCTTCTACTATTCTCAACCAAGTATATATTCATCAATAAATTTTAAAACTCACGCAATAATCTCTTAGCGTTTAACAATTATAGCCCTATAAAATTTGCAACCCTCTCAAGGACAAAGAGACCATACAACATTGTTAAAACCCTCATTGGCATTTTGGGTTTCTCCATGAATGCATTTTGATAATAACTCATCACTTTTGAGTTATAAAAAAGTTGGCAACAAAATACGAAGAGTACGTGATGGTAAATTTATTTCTTTTTATTAGTCTTAGTGCCATTAATTAAACTTTTTTCATATTTGCACCAACTGGACAATCCAGGTGGACAAAACTGATGTCAAACTTCGTCCCCTTTATCAGTTTCACAGCAATGCCCACTGATCTCTATAATAATGCATTTCTAGTTAAATTGGGTTAATACAATAATCTTTATAAACTTTAGCAGCAAAAAACTTCCTTGTGTGATGATCTGCCCATCACCAATCATGTCTCCATCACCAAGGTACTGATTGTAAATGAGCAGGGCCGTCCCGAACAGGGGGTGTAAGACCTTGAAACTATTGAAGTTATATTTAGTTAACTTTACTGAATGGATAGAGTATATCGGTTCTACCTCCCAAAGCTGTCATGTAAGCATTTAAGTTGGCACTTTGAGCACAGTTTTGAATTATAGTTAGCAAATTGAAAATATTGAGGACCTTTTTTTTTTAGTGTTTCGAGTTGGCAAAAAATCCACACAACACCTCCATGGAAAACGTTTTTGGGATGGCCCTGTAAATGAGGTTGTTTTTTAAAACTGAACACTAAAAAATTTCTACTCCATTAGTTGACTTGTTTTGGTGCTCTTTAGATCCTTTTTTTTTATCCCAAGTTTGACATTGTCTACAATACTTTGTCATTACATAAACATCAGTACACTAGCCATGTTTTTTAGCTGCCACAAAACCATTAAGAAATTAAAATCCCTTTTTTTGCCAAGAACTATCTATTGAAACAAGATAGGTTGTAATGCCTAAATGAGCATTGTTTTCATGGTTTAACTTAATCTCATCAACCGCTTTTGCTACGCCATTGCTTGTTACATTATTGTCAGCTTTATACAAATGACTGATTATGCTTTGATAACAGAGTTCAGATAACGACTCCATATTGTGGCGTCTAGTAAACCTTTTTATTACTGCAAGACCTTTCTCAATTTCTTGAAAAGCAATTGCATTTTGACAATTTATTTCAAATAGATTGCACCCCTGTGTGGAAATGTCATTTTCATTACAGACGCCAACAGTAATTAATGAATTTTGTGGACAGGAACAAGTTAGAGATGTATAAAGTTCATTATTCTAATCACGAGAAAAATATTTTATTACAAGTTTGTTTGTAAAACTCATTTTTAATCAAGCTTATTGGATAAACTCAGCTTTTGTGCATTACACACAGAGCATGTTGAACTACTTAAAAGACCTTTAAAAATTTTAAAGTTTATAAACAAAAAATAATTATTGTCATCTTCTTTAGAAGTCTCATTCAAAGTTCCTGAAATTTTTTGATAACAAAGTTGGTTGTCAAAAAATTTCAAGAATTTTGAATGAGGCTTCTAAAGAAAATGATGACAGCTACTTTTTGTTAACTGTTACACTTTGTTACCAAGTGAAAAAATTTTTAAAGTTTCTATTACCTTGCTCAACTTGTTAAACCGATTTCCTTTAAACTTGAATTTTTTCTTTCTTACGAAATTCTGTTTACTAGACATCAATAATCTGATAAAAAATATAAGTAAAATTAAATCAAGCAGTACAACACACTCCACAAAACACTTGAAAAAAGTTATGGCTGTTATATTTAGTTGTATATATTGTACAATATACAGACTTTATTTAGATATTTATTTCATATTTTAAACAAAAAATACATAGTTCTAAAATAATATATTTTACCAATATTATTTAAAAATTTTCTGCTAAAAAGAAATTTTAATAATAAAAAATTAAACTTACGAAAAGTTAAACTAAATTAATAGTAGTGAGTAAATTGTGCAAAATTTTCTAGAAAAATGATAAATTTTGTATCAAATGATAAACTTGAATGATAAATAAAAAAATCAAATTTTCTTTAAAAAATGAGTTTTTCCTATATGAGCCACCTTAATAAATGGTTGTAGCTAATTTAATTAAAACATATATTTGATATTTTATCAGCAAATTCGTTAGTAAGCTTAGCGAGCATAATAGATGTCCCGTCTCCTAATCTGCTTTCAAAACTAATATATACTTTTCGAAAATGAAAGTTCCTTATCAGGTCTATTAAATTGTTTCCAATGCTCACGTATTGGACATTTGCTTCGAACAATTCGATTTTTTATAAGGTAATTTTTGTACAAATAGCTTATACCTTTTTTTTCTTACTTTCTTTATTCATAACACTAAAAAAAAAAAAAAAAATGTTTATTTAATTCTTTTAATTAATCCTTTGGTTTCACCAACCAAAAGTATTCTGTATTCATCTATTTTTAATTAATTTTAAAAACCTTTATAACCACAACTACAAAATTAAACTAAAAACCGTTTTGTAGAGATAATATTAATATTGCTCATTAGAGTTTATTAAAACCTTTGTAAAATGTGATGTAATAATGTGCTGTTATGAAACAACTGAAATAATTTGTGGTGTTCTACACGGTCCTATTTTAGAACCCCTTTTATTTTTAATATATATAAATATATAAATGACCTTAACACAGCATCGGTATTATATTTGCCGATGATACAAATTTATTCCTATCCAATGCTAACATTGACTAACTATTGTCCAATGTTAACAAAAAAGTATTGAAATTTTGTTTAAAGCGATAACTTATTTAAACAAAAAGAAAACCTTAAGGAAATTTACTACTGACTTATACATATTTATATTAACTATGCAAATATTGCTTTGGGAAGTACTTGAAAAAAATTTTAAAAATATAATAAGCGTAGGTGAGACCGGAGTTAGTCGGAACACGGGGTTAGTTGAAACATTTAACTTTTGCGCCGACTAACGAGCAGTTTATTATTACAAACAAGAAATGAAGGTTTCAAGAACTAAAATACATACGATTTTGTTGTTGGATAAAATAAATTGCGAAAATTAAGTTGTTGCTTAAGATTTTAGAGAATTGTACACATAAAGGAAATTTTTTGTGATTTTTGTATTACTAATTGTATTCTTTTATTATAAAAGATAATAAAATAGTTTGATAACATAGAAGTAGTATTTTTTGTGGGCTTTATTTTAATGTGCTTTTTGTAGGGTTTTGTGCATGGGATACCTTGATTAAATCGTTTAAGAATGCACTGGTTAAATGGGGGTTTGTTGGAACGTTGTGATTGGGGTTTGTTGGAGAGTTTTTGTTATAAGGCATCAATCATATTCCTTTTATTATCGCTTATTGATTATTTTTGTTATTTTATAATTATCCATTATATCTTATACATATCTTTACATATTTAGCAGTATATATTATTAATTTTGATATTGCAAAAAGTATTTAAGTTTTTTTGTGCCATTCTTTATTTCTTAATGGCATGTCTTTTAAAAAAGCACTTTGATATTGCATTTAGTTTTATTAAACATGCAAACACGATATATACTTTAAAAAATAAAAAACGTTTTAGTAAAGATGCAAACACGATATATACTTTAAAAATAAAAAATAAAAACGTTTTATTAAAAATGCAAACACGATATATACTTTTTTTTTAAAAAAAAAACGTTTTAGTAAAGATGCAAACACGATATATACTTTAAAAATAAAAAATAAAAACGTTTTAGTAAAGATGCAAACACGATATATACTTTTTTTTTAAAAAAAAAAACGTTTTAGTAAAGATGCAAACACGATATATACTTTAAAAAAAAAAAAAAAAACTATATTAGAACAAGAGCTAATTATCAACAAGAATGTCCACCCCAACCTGATTTTATTTTCTACAATTTTAATGCAAGAAATGTTCAATACAATTATTATTATTATTTTTTTATCTACTCGATTTATGTTAACATCACTAAAACAATATGACGTCATTAAACCACACCTATAATTATACTGAAGCATATTAATTATTTTTAACTATTCTTTGATAAACAATTGCAATGATTTATATAATTATTTATTGAAACAGATCCAATTCAAAAGCGAATAAACATTTACAAAAAATCAATAAAAATGAATTTATTTAAAGCGTTTTGATTCCAGCAGTTCTCTACGACAAGACCTCAAGGACTTCTTGGAGTTTCCGCATTCTTTATTCCTAATTTTTATTTATTTCTCTATTGTTAACGAAATCTTTATTGTAAATATTATTTATTTATTTTTTATGTCTTACGTTTTATTCACATAAAGTTGTAATAGAGATTGTAATAATGATTGTAGTAAAGAAAAAGTAAATAAATAAAAAAATAAAATAAAAATTTATTTCAATAATTTTTTAACAGTTATTAGATGACAAATATTAATAGATTACATGCTGACAGAAGCTTTCAACAGTATTTAAATTTTAAAATACTTATAATAATCAAAACAGTCCGATAAAGACAAGTAACACTAACTTGATGATAAGATTCTTATGATTTTCTTTCGGAAAGCATAAAAGAAAAAATGACCCGAGTTCATTAGATTCGAAATGAATTAATAATGAATTAAAAAAATATAATAATGTTTAATTTCAGAAACCCGGCTCAAATGAGTCAAATACCCGACTATATTCCTCAAAAACCAACTATAACTTCAAAATCGCCTTCTTTGGGGGTATTGCCTTTCTCTCTCGTTGACCACTTAAATATTCAAAAGTAATCAAATCAGTAGGTTATAAGTGACGATTATTATTTTAGTTCACGTCATTATTTTAGTTCACATCATTATTTTAGTTCACCTTAAAATGAACAGCAATCATTTTATAGACATTTTGTAAGCAACAAATTTTTCATAATAAATAATAAAATCATATTAAGTTTAAATACCATTAAATGAAGTTCTGAAGTTTTTATTTGTTGTTTCTTTAAAAATATTGGTTAAAAATATAATAATACAGTTAAAATGTAACATACAATTGCGGCTTAATGCCATTATTACGTTAATATAAACATAAAAAGATAAACTGCAACATCACAGAAACTTAGCAACAAATCAAACAAATTTTATTTTAAAATACTGCATAAGTAATTGTATAACTTCAAAGCATTAAAATAAATATAAACTATTAAATTAAAAGTAAATATAAAGTATAACCTAATTAAAACTTCCCGATTTGTTATTAGCTCTGGCACTAAAAATAAAAACACAAATTAAAATATTGCTACTCAATTTAAAATATTTTCAACAAAAATTTTGGTATATTAAAAATAAACTTATGTAAATTTTAAATGTTTGTCGAGTAAATTGAACTTAACCTTTGTCGAGTAAATAAAATTTAACCTGTAATCCTTTGAGACTATTGTAGACTAAAGGATTACATACCACTTATAAATAGTATGTAATCCTTTACATACTAGTTATAAATAAACGTAAACTTTATAGCAGCGATAGCAGACAGATTAAAATTTATTTTGAAGTTTTATAAAGGTTTAATATAAAATACAGTTTTGAGAACTACGCCTAGTGCTATTGAACTAGCATCTACCCAAAAGTTTTTGTAGCTTTTGAAGCTTTTGTTCTCAGTCTAGATTTTCCCGTGAGCGCGTCGGTAACCCAATGGAATATCGCTTTCGAATCAGTGCAGAATTGTAGAATTTCCATTTTCCAATTAAGGCCCATGTTTAGTCCTTTAATTACTGCGTCAAGTTCAGACATGTTTATATGTGTTGTGTTGTCTTTTCTTAACCAACAAGCATCTTCGATTATATTGCCATCAAGCGTCTTTGATTATAGTGCCTAAACCTAAAAATGCATTTCCAATGTGCACACAATCTGTGTGCACATTGAAAGTGCATTTTTAGGTTTAGTCCAAAACATTGTGCAAAAAATAATAATATCTATTTAAATCATTTTCTCAATTCTCTTTTGCATGGCCTACTATATTCACGGCCGTATATCTTACATTTTTGAGGGGGAAATTAAGAGGCCGGTTTTGAAAGTTTTAGATACAAAATTCGCTAAAATGTTATTTTTATAAATATTCTTCTTTCTGAATTTACTAACTTTTAAAGAATTTATATTAAAAATGGTCAACAAATGTGCTGCACCAAAATTTACATCGGGATACTTAAGCAACAACACAAACAAATTGCTTCTTTTCATTTTCCAGTTATTAAAACGTCAACATATCAACATAACATATTTGTTACATAAATACGCACTAAAAAGCAAATTTGTTTATGAAAATCATGAAAGTTGGGGAATCACGTTTTCAAAAAAAATTCTTGTTAATGTATTTTTTAATAACAAAAGTAGAGTACTCTAAAGCAAAAAACAGTCTTTAAAGGTATTTATTAATTAACAATGATAAAAAGTTATTTCATATTTATTTAAAAAAAACAAAAAACATTTTGCTAAAATTTTAAAATTACTAAACTTTAAGATAAAAGGCAGAGCTAAGGATTTACAGCTATTTTTCTAGTACTCTGTTTGAAACTTGAAAATAAAAGATTTAAAAAAAAGCAGGCATTACTTGAGTAAAAGCCGGCATTTATGAGGCTTGAATACTTGGGTGACACAAAGTTAAAAAAAATAAAAAATAAAGTCGCAGTACATTTTCTGGTTCTACCAAACTTTGGGATTCTACAAAAAAAATTAAAGATCCCTAAGTGATCAGAAAGAGCTAAATGTAAACTTAAAAATTTTACGTTCCAAGCCTTTTTTTTTTTCTTCGCATTATTTTATTATTTTCACATCATTCAGCAAGTTTTCAAAACATGTGTCAAAAACTCAAGATGTTTTTAAAATATTTGTGGTCATTCACAACTATTTTTTAAAAACTTTAATCGCACCATAAACTTAGTGGATTGCGTTTAATCACTTGGCAACTTTTGATTTATTAATTATCTTACTATAAACTTCGATTTTTTTTTACTGTTTACATATCCGTACAAAATGTTGAAAATCAAAGAGAGGAAAACAGAAGAAATTAGCTACAACGCTCGTAGGTCTGTTTACCTGCTTAACTCGCCTTTAAGCTATCTACCTACAAACCAACTTCCATCGAATAAAAGTGTTCTTCGATATTACTTATTCCTTACTTCAGCTAAAGATAAGCGATTCAAACCTATTAAAACAAATTTTTCATGTTCTCGAGCACGAGAGGATGTTATATGTAAAGGGAAAGAAGAGTTTTGTAATTCAAATACCGAAAAATACTGTTTACTCCAACAAATTGTAAATATTTGGAAGTCTGCTGGTTTTAGTAATTAATTTCTGATAGAAGTATAGTGGAAAAATTTAAATTTCTATACAGCAAATACAAAACTTTGTGCAACAGTAAAACCTTTCAAATCAAAAAGCAAATTTCCGAACGCCACAAAAATGACTTTTACAATATGGTAGAGCAATTGTTTGACATCAGTGCGAAGGACTTTGGGATGAAGTTGAGACGCGATGAATCAATGCCTCGTGATACTTCTGCTTTACAAGAGGATTTGGCCTTCTTAGATGATCAAAGGTATTTTTTGCGCAAATTTTTTTGCAAAGATTTAACTTATTTTTCAATTATGATATATCTACTAATTTTTCCCTTATATAAAAAAAATCATTTTTTTGAGAAATTTTGAGAAATTGTTTTAACAACTTTTTGCAAAGAACTAAAAGAAATATGATCATATCTTCTAAAATTGATACAGAGCTTAAAGCAAGGTTTCAGAGAAAGATTGATAGATGTAAGAGGCAAGAAGAATATAAAGATCGAGTACAGAAGAGCAACGATTTGATAATTCGTAACAACGAATAAAAAATTGGGGAAAAAAGGCAATGAAATCACAACTTTTTTCCTAACAATGATATAAATTTCAATTTCGCAAGTGAGGAACCTACAGAACCTAAAAACTACAGAACCTAAAAAAACAAGAGCTGAATCACAATTAGGTAATATTTAAGTATAATTTGTTAAAGTCATAAAAATATTTGTTTCAACTTATGAATAAATAAAAAGAGAGAACATAAACAATTTTTTCTAATAATGCACGGACATTTTAGGCAAAACTAGTAATTTTTTGAAGTAAATGTATAAATGAGCTAAAAATCTTTATATTAATTTAGATGCTGGAAGTGTAATTGCTAAGTCGGAAGATTTTGTCCCAAATAATAATGTTAACTTTCACGAAGCAAGCTCAAAAAGTAGGCATCAGTTTAGACCAGCATATTTCAGAGTAGAGAAGGAAATAACCAGCGAAGGTCTCATTGCAGCAACAACTTCCACCAGTATAAGGGTTGGTCTCAGCATTCGAGATCAAACCCTTCTTATTGCAAGCGTAGTAAACTATTTAGAAGATGTTAAACAGCTAAAGTTAAGAGAGAATCTGTCAAAAGGCGACGTTACAGATTTTTAGAAGAGGAAGGAGGCCAGATACGTAATGAATATATTAATTTAATGGCTAACAAGATGTTAGTTTTACATTTTGGTGGTAAAATTTTAAAGCATATTGAGGAGGACACTAGACAGGCAACTACTGCAGATAGACTATCAGTATCTGTTACTAGCCCAGAGTTTGAAACCAAAGATGATCTTTTACTTGGTGTTGTGCCAACTGATAGTGGTAAGGGAATCGATATGGCTATAAGTATTATGAATCTCTTAGAATATTTTGAAATTTATGACTATATTGTAGGATTCTGTTCTGACACCACAGTAAGTAACACTGGATAGAAATCTGGTGCAATAACTATTATGGCAAGATTTCTTGGTAAACTTTTTTTCGTTGGTTATTGTGTAGACACCATATTGCCGAAATAAATATTACTTTGGCTTTTAAGGCAATTTCAATGGAAATGTCTAAAGCCCCTGCGAATAAGTTACTAAAGATTTTCAGAAGAAATGGGTTACATAATTTTTTCCTAAAGTTTCAGCTAGTGGTGCTGTAGAAAAGGTCAAACGATTTCCTGAGCAAGACCTTATTGTTGGCAGTGATCTCTGCAAACTCTATTTGAATCTAAAAAGTTTGTAACTAAAGCACTAGAACATGAAATCTTCCTAAGGTATGTAAAAATAATATAAAATGAGTTACTTTTTCCATAAATATAATTTTTTTTTTAAAGTTATTAAATAAAATTAGGAATATTTTAGGAATGATTACAGACATCTTGTTGAATATTTGGCGTATTACATGAATGTTAAGTCTGAGAAATTAAATAATTTTCACATCCATCAGCCTGGGGTCTGTCACAATGCAAGGTTTATGGCCTATGTAATTTACTTTCTAATTCTCGATATAACATCTACAGTCATTGAATATCTGACTCCTGAAAAGAAACATATGGTCTCAAGGGTAGCATTTAATGTTACTTTTTATTATGGACCTGCCTTTCTTAAATCAGGCAAAGCAGAGCATGCTGTTCTAAATGATTTTAATGTATTCAAAATTGCTGAAACTATTAAAGCAGAATGGGATTATGAAATTGGAAACTCACTTCAAAAAAGCATGAGTAAACACACATGGTATTTGTCTCCTAATTTTGTCGTACTATCATTAGGTGATCTCCACATGAAAGCAGATGCTAAGCGTTTAATCATTGAGAAACTTTTAAAATTTCTAATTCCTGAGTTATCAGAGATTTCTGTTACAGCTCCTTTTGCTGTTATTGTTACCAGTGATAGTCGATCAGAGGATTTAATTACGAAGGAGAGTTGGCTTTTTTTTATACTTACAGGTCACACCGAATCTGTTCGAGAGTGGCATATTTCAAGTGTTTCTTACCGCTAGATTCATACATTTTGCTCAGTTAGTTTGCAATCTTAGTGTGACCAACGATTGCGCAGAAAGAAATATTAGTTTAATTGAAAACTTTGTTCACAGTTCCCACAATGAGAATCAGAGACAGAACATTCTTTTGGTCGTCAGAAAGCACAGAAAGCTTATAACAAAAGATATGTCGCCTAAGGAACTGGTAAAGCTAAAACCTAGAGTTGAAAAATTGTTGTAAAATAATAGCTAACTGTATGTAACTATAAACAGTGTTTTTTTTCTTGTAAGATCAAACAAAAGTTTAGATATAAACATATTCTGACCCATAAAAAATTACATAAAGTTTAGTTAATCCTCAATATTTGAAAAATTACATGTAGCACTTCCAACGAATAAGAATAAGTGATATTTTGTATTTAGACTAACTGAATGTTGTAGAACAGGATAAGCAACTGCGGTTATTGATTTTCGAAAAATTTTATTTTTAGACCCTACTTTGTGTCACCCTATTGAATACTCTGCTTTTTTTTTAATCTTTTATTTTTTTGGATCGAAAACAGATTAGTTCCATAGTTTTATAGATGTATATCAATACATATTATTTATCCTCTTTCCTCACGCAAAATCAATTTAATTAGTAAAAAATTTAAAAGAAAAATTAAATATAAATGTAAAAGTTAGAAAAAACTTTAACTTTTGCATCACTTTTAAACTTACACGAGTTAGATGTAGATATAGCCACATTTATTTATTAAAAAGTGTAAAAAAATGCTCTCTCAGAGTTAACGCGGCCGAAAAGATTGCCGTTATCATATGCAAAAACGCACGAACGAATCTCTTATTACGAATGATATTATTATAAAAACAAATTATAGGATGATAGAAATAGTGGTTGTAATAGCACTTTGGTTGTTGCTATAATTACTTTGCAATTGTTATTTTTATTTTTATACCAACTGTCATTGTTAAAAGTTAATATTTTTAGTTAAGTGCTTCATCATTAATGAATTAATAAAATTTATAAATCAATAGTTATAAAAAATATTATATATAAAACAATAATAACAAATATACCTAATGCACTAGGTATTGCATTAATGCACTAGGTATTGCATTAATGCACTAGGTATTGCATTAATGCACTAGGTATTGCATTAATGCACTAGGTATTGCATTAATGCACTAGGTATTGCATTAATGCACAAGGTATTGCATTAATGCACTAGGTATATTTGTTATTATTGTTTTACACATAATATTTTTTATAACTATTGATTTATAAATTTTATCATTATTTATAAGAGATTCATTATTTGTATACTTTCTTTTCTTTTTTATATTTTTATGTTAGTTTTATTTGTTTACCTATTGTTTTTTTTGTTTTTTTTTTTCTTTCTTAAATTCTCTCAGCGTTTTGTTATTATTATTATTTTTGTTTGTATCACTCCATTGACAAGTTTATAACTATATGAGTAGCACCTAACATTAATTTGTAAGTGTTAACTTCATTATTGTAAATTTCCATACTAAATAAATGGACAAAAATGGAAATAACATTAATGCAAGCTCTATTATCGCAACTAAAGTTCTTAGAAGCCATGATCAGAACACAAACCGCTCTATCAAGAAAATGGAAGTCCTAACACAATCAAAATTTATCCTAAGGTTATTGCTTTTTCCGCCAAATACTCGATATCTTCTAAAATATCTCTTGTTACTAATGGTCTAAAATTTGCCCAGCAACCAATTATAATGTCTTACATATTGTACCAAATATAACAAAAAGTTTAAAGGGAAATTTTTACAAAGAAAAAAAAAAGTTTTACGATACAACAAATAATGACATTAGTATAAATAAAAATAAATTAATATTATAATACTAAAACCACTCAAATTGTACAAAGTAAACCTACCCAAGTTCAATACGTTTTTGCATTACACTGCAATAAAGAGCGGTTGAAGAGCTATAACAAATTAAAAACAGAGCGATTAAAAATGGCTGATGAAAGAAATACTTTAGTTGTAATTATAACCATTATATCTAAAAAAAATAAAAAAAAAATTCTTTTTAGTGTGTGCGTGGTTATTGTGATGCTACCAGAAGTCCCTAAGAACTTATTGCAGAGAACCACATAATATTTAACTAGGAATTTCACGCCTCCTTCCTTATATTACACAAGCCTATTGGTTCTGAGTCTAAATCTGAATCCAATAAAAAAATTTTTAACAACCTAATTAGTTTGATAAAAAATTTATGTCACAAAAAACTTTCAGCCGAAGTTAAAAAGTTTCTAATATACTTTTTCTATATACCTCTGAAGCTCACAAATTCAAAAAATTCAAAAAATAACTGACTAGATGAAAGCTTCCAATTATTTATTTATTGAAATAAAAAATAATAAAACCACTAAGAGATCATTAATAACACCAAGTATTTCCAAATTAAACTTATCAACATCTTATTTTAGCTAGTTTCGATCTTTAATTTTATCTCCAAACGAAAAGATACCGGAAACACTCATTAAAAAAAACTGCTTTTTATAAAAAAATTATAAGAGAGATTAAATCAAAAAGTTGTATAATTACATGCAACATTGTTAGACCTCTATAACCAGTATTTCACATAATCTCGGGATTAAAGCATCAAAATTCTAGATAAATATATAAAAATAATCAATAGATAAAAATGGTCACACACGAGCAGTGAACGCACGAGGGAAAAATAAAGTACATTAGAATAGAGGAGAATTATTTTTCCAACACAGCTTATTTTGACAGTTGTCAAGACAAAATAGATTAATAGAAAAATATTTAAAATATACTAATATGATGACAAAAATAAGACAGACAATGACCCGAACAATACTTATAAAAATAAAAAATAAAAAATTAATTTTTTTATGAAAACTTGATGATGAGCAACAAAAAGCGGCCTATAACTCAACCTAATTTTGAAATTTTCGTAAATTGTAGATTATGGCGTTTTTGATTTTCAACCGACAATTTTTGATTTTTATATTTACACCTAATTAAAACATGTGCGAGTAATTTTCAAACCTACTAAAACCTACTAAATTGTTGACCTACTGTATTTTTGACCTACTGAATATTCAACATACTGTATTTTCAATTTTATAACGGCGCTTTTCTGGTATGTATTTTGTACATTTTGATGTTAATTTGAATACTTTAAGAGCCCAATTTGATCAGCCTTGGCGCAGTGGTTGAAATTCTTTCTTCAGAATCAGGAGGTATAAGGTTCGATGAGTACTTATTGATTGGAAAACTTATTGATTAAAAAAAAATTCGTCGTTTAAAAAAACAACGTTAAAAACGCTGACCAGATAATCAGTTAAAAATTAATTTATCTCAAATCGGTTGAAATAGAAAATCTATAAAATAGGTCGAAAAATAAATTGGTCAAAAACAGTAATGAATCGGTTGAAAATAAAAAATTCTATAATTGGTTGAAAACAGTTTAGGACTCAGTAAGTTATCTGAAAATTAGTTTCACTTTTTAGTAGATGCTCTTTTTGTAGAACAACTTAGTTGGTCAAAATTTTTGTAGGTCTAACCATCTGACACGAAAAATATCACCAAACAAAAACATTCAAAACAAAATATTGACTACAAAATAAAAAATATGCATACCACAATGTAAGGCGTAAGAATGGAAAAAAACATTAATGCTACATAATCTATATAGTGATTAAGTAATAAACATCTTCTTACAGTTGCATCTATATATATTAGGGTGCAGTGAAACTTTAGGTGAAAATATTTATAGTAAATTATTGATATGTAATAGCAACAAAAAGTTGTCTTTTGATATGTGTTCAAATAAAGTGAATAAAATTTCCTCAAAATTTTAATGTCTTCAGCTGCCTCAAGGGGGTCAAAGTTACTGAAAATTAGGTATTTTTTATGAAAACAGCCTGTTTTAGCCATAACTTTTTAAAATAAAAAACTGTATTTTTTTCTTTATTAATACCCTAAGCCTAATTACTAATAGTATTGTTTCACCCAGTACTAAGGGGGCTAGTTTGGGGGTGGGGGGCTAGGGGCTATAGCCCCAAGCCTTTTTAACTTTTAACTTTTTAAAATAAAAATAAAAAGCCCTTTAACTTTTTAAAATAAAAAACTGTATTTTTTTCTTTATTAATACCCTAAGCCTAATTACTAATAGTATTGTTTCACCCAGTATTAAGGGGGCTAGTTTGGGGGTGGGGGGCTAGGGGCTATAGCCCCAGGCCCCCCAAAATAGTCAAGAGAAGTTAAGCAGCCGTGGCGCAGTGGTAGCGCTCTTGCCTCAGAAATGTAAGATCCGTGGTTCAAACCCCACCTCTGAGCAAATTTTGCGATATCGGTTGGGAAGGAGGCTTGAACTTCCTATTAAATGCTCTTCCGCGGTGCTCTGTGATAAGATCGTAAGGACTTCTTGGGGCACCTAAAATCAACTTTAAAAAAAAAAAAAAGTTTTTTTTTAATCATCTTCACGCTCTGACACATAAAAAAGGGCCTGAAAAGTCTAAATTTGCCTGTTTTGGTTATCTTGGTTATTTCACCTTTATAACTGTTCAATAAATGTTAACTTTATGTTATATTGACGTAAAATGTGTTTTATTAACCTTTTTTTAGTTTTTATTTAGAAATAATTAACTAAGTGGTTCATTATATTTCTTTTAATACTTCTCAATATATTTCTTTGCATATCAAGAAATTGTTACTAATGTTTGATATTTTAGTTTAGCTTTTAATTTTATTTATGGCTTGCTAGATTAATGTATAAATCAATAATTACTTATGAATCTAATACAAAGTTTGCTTATTATAGAACAAGTTTTATTATGGCCATTAGGTTAGTGAGAACGAGGATGATGCTGACTTGTCCTGTCTTTGGTATACCTAAAGAGATGTCGTAAGTTGTTTTACCAACATATGAAGATGTAATGAAACATTACTTGCTTGTAAAACATCAACTGAAACCAACAGCTGCTACGAAAGAACCTACTATTTTTTTTTTTTTTTTTTTTTTTTTCAATTTTTTGCCGTAGAAAGTTACAATTTATAAAATAACATAAATAATAAAACAAGTGGCTGGAGCAAGAAGAAGACATCAGTTTGTCTTATCACCGAGCCCCATAGTGACTTCATTACAGGTCGTTTTTTACAACAAAATATATAAAATCGTGATAAATTGTTTGTGATAAAATATGTAAAAATGTGAAAAACTACGTTTTACAATTGATATAACTGTTTATATATAAATTCGTTTAGTAAAATAAATTTAGAACAAGTAAAAGTTAAAACAAATAAAAGAAATAAATTGTGCTAGTTTATTTTATACTAAAAAAGAAAAAGAAAATTTAAGTCCGTAGATAATAAAAAACGCTTTGATTCAGATTTGAACTGTTCAAGTGTATTTCTTTTGATAGAAACAATCTGGGGAAAAATTTTCCACAAATAAGGTCCGCGGTGTTGGATTGAGTATGAATTTAACTTTAATGTAAATTTTGGGATGACAAAGTTGTTATATGAGAATCTAGTAGGGTATTTATGACTTATTTCGCTAAAATAGGGTTGAAATATCGGCGGAGATAGTCCATTTTTTATTTTGTGCATAAACTGTAAAACAAGATGTATGTTAATTTTGTATATATTCAATGCTCCAAGTTTGCATAAAAGAGGTTCACGAGACGCTTTTTTACTTACTCCGAAGACAATTCTACAGGCATGTTTTTGTTTACTGTAGAGTTTTTTAAGCTTAGTACAGTTTGTGCTTGCCCAGGCCATGTTACCATAGCTTAGATGACTATGTATTAATGAAAAGTATAAACTTCTTAAGGAAATGATATTTAGGAAAGGTTTTGCTTTATACATTAATGAAATATTTCTTGAGAGCTTTCTCTCTAAAGTGTTTATATGGAGCTTCCACGACAAATTTTCATCCAAGACCACACCTAGAAAGTCTATAAAATTTTCTCTTTTTATATTAGTATTATTTATTTTAAGATCAGGTAGTTTAAGAGGAATATTTTCGTTTTTATTTCGTTTATGAAATAGGATGAACTTGGTTTTTTTGACATTCAAAGAGAGTTTGTTACACCTAAACCACTCATTTATTTTATGTAATTCTTTGTTAACTATGTTAAAAAGTATCCTAATGTCTCTATGCGAATAAAACAAATTGGAGTCATCCGCAAACAAGAATAAATTTAATAAGTTTGATGTTGAATATAAATCATTTATATAGAGTAAAAATAATAATGGTCCCAAGATCGATTATGGCGCTATTTGTTGTTTTTGTTGTTTCATGCTGAATATATTGCTTTCGGTTTGATAAATAATCTTTAAACCAAAGTAAGTTATTATTTTTTACTCCATACACTTCGAGTTTTTTTAGAAGAATGTCGTGATTTACGGTATCAAAAGCTTTAGAAAGATCAATAAAAACTCCTAGCGTAAAGCAATCATTACTAAAAGTATTAGATATTTGATTAACTAGCTCAATTATAGCATGGTCGGTTGAGTGGTTTTTTTTAAATCCAAATTGTTTACCGTATAAAAAACTGTTTTCCGTCAAATAATTGTAAAGTCTATTATACATGACACGTTCTAGTAATTTGGAAAAACATGGTAAAACTGATATAGGTCTATAATTATTAGTATCAAATTCATCTCCAGATTTAAAAATAGGGGTGACTCGAGCAATTTTTAGTTTATCCGGCACAATGCCTGATTTTAGCGAAAGATCGAAGATGTGGTGCAATGATGGTTCAATGATATCAAATACTGATTTTACGACAAAGCTACTGATATTATCAAAGCCCGCACTTTTGTTGTTTTTTAGATTGTTTAAAGCGGATCGCAGTTCATTAGAATCTAGATGTGTTTCTTTCATAATCTTTTCTGTGGTAAGGTTCTTAATCAAGTAAGAATGAAATGTTGCAGAACTCGTCGGAATTTCTGCTGCTAAATTGTGACCCACATTAAGAAAAAAGCTATTTAGATATTCAGCTACTATAACATAAATCTCTGAAAAAGTTGCACAAGTTGTTGAAAAATATGGTTAAAACCGATGATTACTCGTACACGGGTATTAAAGGTGATTCGCTCCTATCATGATAAATACAGAAAACTATTTCGAAGCATCAAGCGCAGTAATTATGATAGCAAAGTAAACGCTTTTAAAGAAGATGCGAGACATAAATTGTTTGATATCTGTACCTGTAAGTGTGTGTTTGAGAAGTGTGTATGTAACAAAACTCGCAAGATTCCTCCTGCAGAGCAAGATTTTATCCAAGATCAGAGAACTCTCAAATTGATGTGCATTGGCAATGTTGATAAACTTGCATCAA